ACGTACATTTATACTTAGTATTGCTGTAAAGTTTAATATGATCATCTAATATAAAGTTTGGTAGCTTGAACCCAATGTAAAAATCCAAAATAATAAAATATGGAGTAGGTTTTTTTTTCCTCTCTTTGTATATTGGTCCAGGGGCTTTAATTTTAATTTTTTAATACTCTGTAATTAAACCCAATGTAAGAAGAGCTGAGTTATCCAATGCAAGCAAGCTTGAGCTCAGCTTAATTCAACTCAACAATACAAAGAAATACAGTAAATCATTAAGTTGATACACATTAGATGCAGAGCATATAGCATTATTAGGATGTATCATATCAGAATCTCACAAGAAAAGTTGTATCTTCTCTTCTAACAAGTAACAATAAACCTTTAAGGTAGGTTAGGATTGATAAGAGAACTACTCACACCTCCTTTTCTTCAAATATAGAATATACATCCAGAGCCTAAGCACAAAGGCATTCTACTCCCTTTAAAAAACATGTACCTTGAAAAATTGCGTCTTTTAAAGTTGTAGACTCTCATTTTACGCTCTTAATCCCAAAATTATAATCAAAATTTAGATGTCCATTGCATCTCATAACAACGAATCTAATAGCAATGTTGAAAGCCACCTTTGTAAAATTCTACAATCCCCAAAATCAAAACCAAAATCCAATCTAAAGATCATAAATAAAAATCCTAAAAAATCGTATAGAATTAAAGTACCTTTTGATCGGATTTGTGGTAGCGCTTAACTGGACAAACCACAAAGTCACTGACAAATATTCATGAAATGATCAAATTGAAAGAATAGAAAGAGACATGAGGGGATTTCATGGGGTAGTGCTCGGAAGTTGGTATATTTCCCTCTCTTATAGTGTTTCTGGTTCTCCATTCACTTTAATTATCTAGTATATTTTTTTCTTTCAAAATCCAATCAAAGTTAGGAAAAATAGATGAATACCCAGACCCTAAAACTTAAAAAGGATAATACCTTAAAATCTAAAATCACTCAAAACCTTTAAAACAATTGAAATTAAAATTGAAAAATACCTTTGAAGATAGTCAGTGACTTTGTGGTTGAAACTCGAAACCAATAATTCAACCGATTAAATAGGAAGATGAAAACGTATGTAATAACAGAGAGAAAATATATAGTATTAAAAAAAATCTTGTAATATTAAATGGGGGAAAATGCGTAAATACACATTTTTGGGGTTATAATTGTCACAACACTATTCATAAGAGCAAGATTTTACTTTTTATAAAGTAGGGATATGAGTGAGGAACGCATAGATATGGATCTAAGAATTTGATAATGAGGATACGAAAATAAGTTTAGTAAATACTGTTAATTAACTCAATTTTCGATCGATTTAATATATTTCTACTAGTTTTGACCATTACATATTTGAAACTAAATTATTGGAAATTCGTTTAAAAAATTACCAATATATACCTTAATACAACATTCAAAACATTAGGCTTTTATTATTTTAATAAAATAAATAATTAAAGATATTAATGATGTAATATGTATAAATAACTAAATATTGAAAAGAATGAAACTAATTTTACAATTAAACAAGGATTGAGGAAGTACTTTGGATGTATTGCTTTGACTAATTGGTTCGAATACATTTGGATTATATGCACATGGGCTTTAAACAGATTATTCACCTCAAAACACATTGCCCCATTTTCCTTTTAAAATATCCTTAACAGATTAAATCAATTCTTTTTAAATAAAATGTTTCTTATCATCTCCATACATTTTAATTGTCACCCTATATGGGATTGAATATTAATACTACTTCCGCTGCGCATTACTCGCAGCAAAGGAATAGTTTATGTCTCACAAATAATACCTTTTAATTTTGTTGCGAGTAATGCGAAGCGTAGGTGGTATATGTTTTAATTATGACTCAAAATTCTTGTTATTAAATTTGCTAATCATATTGTTATTTTCTACACAGTAATGTTTTGTATTCTTATGATAATATAAAATATTATATAGCTTGATGGTAGGGTATACAATTCTAGAACTAGAGGGTATATTCAAATCTTGTGGAGAACTTTTTATATGAAAAGTGCATGACATGAAATGAGAAATAAATGAAAGGGAGAGTCACGTGCCGTAATGAAAATTTTAGTAGTTGAAGTGGCGTAATGAAAGGGTCTACATGACATATATACTAATTAGGGATACTTTTTAATATATTAGTATACATTATATTATATTCTAAATAACTTTATACAGCTCTCAATTTTATTTAGGAAAAATTGCCAAGAATAATACGACATTTCACCGATCTTCCAAAAATAAAACGATATTTAGATTATTCCGGAATAAAATAACCTTTGACATGAATCTTCTATAAATAGAATAAAAAATCGGTGACTTGTTTTATAGGTAAATTAGACACGTGTCGCATTATAATTGGTTAAACTTTTTTTTTTTAATTTAGATGATAATGATTTTAAATTAAAAAAGAAAATCCCTCCCTTTTCCATATTTCCCCTCCCCATTTATCTCTTCTCCATTTTGTCGTTAGCCACCTCCCTAGGGCCCCAACCCTAACTCACAACACCACTAACTCGGAAGCGGTAACCACATCAGCAAGCTTGGTTCTTGGGGGTTCCAAGTGTTAGTTGAGACGAACACTATAAGTGGGGGGTGAATTGTATGTGAGTTACTAATGATTACTTTTGCGGAATATGAAATAGTATGTCAAGGAACTTGCAATGCACACAGTATTTTACGAGGAAACCTTCCAAGGCCCAAATAGAAGTAAAACCTCGACCCTCTAAGAGATTTTAAGAACCAAACCAATCCACTATAATAGGGAAAACTGACAAGTTACAACCTATTATGCTCAGACCTTTACTCACAAGTTCCAGACTAAATTCGCTACATAGTAGAACCTATTCATTCTACCCAATCCAAGTCCCTTACTTAGATTCACTCGTACTTCCTAAGTACTCTTACTCAGCTTCAACTTGGAAGCTATAATCACACACACAAACCCAAGAACCCAACCAATACAAATAATTGAACTCTAGTATATGAAAGGTAAGATACACATGAAATGCGATACTAATATGACAAGGAATGAACTTGGCAAACTTACACAAGCACTCTTCGAATTTTTCACGTATAAACTCATAGAAAATATGAAATGTGAATACTACAATTTATATAAGACTAGTTTATATAGAAATTAGGGTTTTGAAAAAGATAATTATGTTATTTTACCAAAATCACAAAACAAGGTTTTTAAGTAAATCTTTTAGAATAAAATATTTTTAGAAAAACTTATCAAAGATAATTATTGAAAAGAATAATATCTTCTAGAAAATCCGGATTTTATGAAATAAAATACTTTTAATAAATATTTTCTCAAAACTTATCTTCTTTAAATCTTTCCTAATTTAAGCTTGCCAAGCTTTTGTCACATTTCTAATAAATCTCATGTATAAACCTGCCAAACATATTTACAACAATTCTAAAGAATTAAAACTTAACAAGACTAAATTGCTCCATCAATTATTGCATTCCAGAATACTTGGGCTTCACGCAGTCCAAAAATAAGTTCCTGCTATCAATTGACTTCCAATTCTCAATTGGAACTTTGTAGGCCAAGTTCTTATGAAACTTGTTGTCTTTAACGTAGGCCAAGTTGAGCTTCTAAACTTGCTGTCTTCATGCTCCTGTTAGCTAGGGAACTCGGTAATTTGCTGGTTGGAACTCTTCATCTATCTTCTTTAACTTTCCTTGAAATCTCTTTGAGTCTTCATAGTTATGTTACTCTACCACTTCCAAAGTCTACTTCACCTTTTCAAATTTCCACATTTAGAGAAATCTTATTAATTGAAGTTTGCTAATTTATATTCTTCATCATTATCAAAACTCTTAAGTTCATCGCCAAGGAGATAGGTGTCAACGTGGGGGTTATAAACAGAAAGTCGCATGCGTCGATGGGAGGCTGGGTTTGTGGGGAATCCAAGGAGGGAGGCGTTCTATGGTCGGCGTGGGGGTTCAAAGGTGAGAGGAGTTCGGCGCAAGGCTGGGTCCATCAGGAGGTCAGTGTGTTGGTCGGCGTGGGGTGGGTTTGTGATGGAGACAACATGGTGGTCGGCAGACGGTAATAGTGAGGTTCGTGGTTGTGGTGAAGATGGTGGTAGACTGCTGAAGAGGGGGTTGTTCACGGGGTTGGGGTTGTTGGGTTTTTGTTTTTATTATTTTTTAATTCTAATTTATTATTTTAATGAATAATATTTTTAAACAAAAAAGCAATTTGCTAATTATAAAGCGACACATGTTGTAAGTATCAGGTTACCAAGCGGTCACATTCTATTTATGAAAGATGTAGGTCAAAGGTCGTTTTATAAAATATTTGAAAGATCGCTTTATTGTTGGAAGACCAGTGGTAGGTCATGTTATTCTTGATAATTTTCCTTTTTTTTGAAGAACGTTATTAATTTATTTTAATCGGGATTTGTTTTTGTGAATTTTCACCTTTGTAACATGATTTTACCAAAATGGATGTATTTCATCACTATCTTATACTTCATCAAAGATTTATAAATAGAGATTTTGAGTTTTAAGTAGATTATGTTACTAACCTAGATACTTATGGGGTATCAAATTAAGCTTGAAATTAAATTGAAAGATGGAATTATGATTATGTTTATCCAATAGATATCCAGTGATTTTACAACAAAATAAAACTTTTTTTTTACAAGAAATAAAACTTATTGAAGGTGTACCAGCAATGCCAACAATTTAATTTAATATTTCCATGAATTATTTTATGACATGATCGTAAGTCCAACAACAACTCAAGGTTCTTCATTCATGACTTTGTAACCAATATATAATACAAGAACTAACCCTACTATGATATGATTAAGAAACATTCAAAAGATTATTTAAAGATTTACTAGCCACAAAGTTTGGTAACATAATATATCCTATGATACTAAAAATATATCCGCAATAGCCCTCCCCCTCAAGTTGGAGCATGAGGATAAAAAATGCCCAACTTGGAAAGAAGATGATAAAACTGAGTCTTCCCAAGTGCCTTTGTAAATATATCCGCTAATTGCGATGAAGTGGAAATATATGATGAAGCAATTAAGCCTTCAGTAATAGCATCACGAACAATGTGGCAGTTAATCTCAATATGCTTCGTTCGCTCATGAAAGACTGGATTTTTGGTAAAGTGTAGGGCATATTGACTATCACAAAATAACTGGATTTCCTTTGGGTGTTGCACTCCTAGACTCAATAACAAAGCCTTCAACCACTTCAACTCATTAGTAATTGAATTCATGGAGCGATATTCGGCCTCAGCCGAAGAGATAGACACAATAGGTTGTTTCTTGGTCTTCCAAGAAATAGGAGAGTGTCCGAAAAATACTAGCCAACTTGTCAATGAACGACGAGTAAGGGGACATTCCGCCCAATCAGAATCACACCACCCCTACAAGGTTAAATAACTATATGCACTTAACAAGATCCCCTGACCCGGGGTACCCTTTAAATATCGAACCACTCGCAAAGAAGCTTCCCAGTGCTCAATCAGAGGCTCCTGCATAAACTGAGAAAGAACATGAACTGAGTACACCAAATCCGATCTCGTAACTGAGAGATATATCAATCTCCCTACTAGCCTACAATATGTCTCAGGAACTGTAAGCAAGTCCCCACTCGCGAGGCTAAGCTTGTGAGTTTGCTCAATTAGAAAACCACTCGGTTTTGCCCCTAATAATTGTCTCCAAAATAATATCCAATGTATACTTTCGTTGACAGAGAAGTAAACCAGAAGCACTACGAGCAACCTCTATGCCCAAAAAATATTTCGAAGGACCTAGGTCCTTCATCTTGAAACAATCACATAAATTAGCCTTGAAAACAGTCATTGTATCGGAATTATTACTAGAATTAATAAGAGCATCAACATATACTAAGAAATTAATCTGAACTGTGCCATTAGTATATGTGAAAAGTGAATAATCATAGTAAGACTATAGGAAACCATACCCTTTTATAGGTGAAGTAAGATTTGCGAACCAATACCTCGGAGCTTGGTTCAACCCATACAAAGACTTTCTCAAAGGACAAACCAAACTCGGATTCGAGCTCTCAAAACAGGGAGGTAATTTCATGTATACCTTCTCATCAAGATCACCATTTAAAAAGGCATTATGGACATCTATCTGATGAAGCTCCTAATTTTTAGAAGCTGCATTGCAAGAACAACTCAAACCATTGTCATTTTGGCGAACGGAGCAAAGGTCTCACCATAATATATACCTTCTTGTTGATGATTGCCAAAAACCACTAACCGAGACTTAAGACATTCAACATCACTATTAGACAAAAACTTTGTCTTATACACCCATTGACTTCCTAAAGCTTTCTTCCCTTGAGGAAGATGCTCTAAAGTACATCCACGTCCCATTGTCCTCTAAGGCTCGTATCTCTTCTTTTATAGAACGACGCCAACCTTCCAAAGTCATGTCTTCTTTTAATGACTTTTGGATCTTTCCCTTGAAGGACAGTTGCCAAAAACTTACGATATTGTACACGAAACATGTCACAATTTATGTAGTGTGTTAAAGGGTAAGGCGTACCTGAAGGAGTATTGGATGACGGAGAGGACGGAGATGAATTATTAGCAAAAACGGAATAAGTAACATAGTCAAGAAGTTTAACAGAAGGAAACTTCTACGGTAACCCTTACCTAACTACTTTGGTTGGGGCTAAATGAAATTGCCACAAGGCTGCTCGGCAGGGGCCAGACTGCTGCTGTGCTGCTCGCTCGACCTGGCTGCCGCTGGAATTCCAGTGGATGTAGTAGAGGCTGGGCTGCCTTGTTGCGCCTGGCCTGCGCCCACAGCCTGCCCTGTTGTGGTAGGTTGATGATCCTGCCCAGCCATAGTGTAATAACCCGTATTTTTATACGTATTTTATTTAAAATTAGTATTTTGTGGAGTATTTAAATAATTTAAAATGTTGTATTTATTGAATTTTAATTATTTATTTTAAATAAGTTTGGAAATATTTTAAAAGGGAAAGCTATTTAATTAATTATTTTATTTAAGTTGGGGTTAATTTAGGAAAGTTTTATTTTAGTAAAGTTTTATTAGGAAAGGGATTAGGAAAGATTAAAAAAGGAAAGTCTAGGTAAGAAGGGTTTCTAGATAAAGTGGTATAAATATTCAACACTTGGGAAAATTAAACTTTGCTCAAAGTGTAGAAAAACCCAAGGTAAACTTTCTCCCTCTTCTCCTTTATATTTCTTTTCTTTTACTTTCTTTTTCCCCTTCCACTTTTCGGCTTTCACCATCGTCGGCCACCACCACACCACTGGTAGGCCGCCGGCCACCGCTAGCACTGCCAGCAGCAGCCGACAATGGTGCCGTGGCTACTGGTCGAATTTCCGAAAAAAAAAATCTTTGTTTTAATTTTTGTTAAACCTTAGATCTAATTATTAAATATGGTTTTTGTGATTAATATTATGATGATTAATATTATGTATGGTGTAATTAAATGTTAAGATTTTAATTCTAATTAAAAGCCCCAATTTTGAAACCCTAGATTCATAAATTATTACTTATTGAAGGATTATGATTTAGGGTGGTTTAGATCTATGATTTATGTGTTTTACAGACTAATTACAGCAAGTTTTCATTAATATATAATGCTAGAATTTTTGGCAGTCTAATAAAAATCAAGTTTCTATAAGGAATTTTAATTACCCATTAATTGAGATTAAAGTATGAGGTTTTAAATAAAATTTCAGCTTATTTTAATTAAATTATGAGTGCTTTAATAAGAATATATATTGCTGCTGGAAATTTGTGTAGAGAGGGTGTTAATGCTATATTATTATTTTAAATTGTAGGAGTCTTCGAAGTGAATGATTTCTATTAGTCATGGCGATATTAAGATTGTATTCAAGGTACGTTAGCGTACTTAGCATATTTTCGGTGATGTAGTATCATGCTAGATGTGATTATTTGATTACAAGTAGTATCATGCCAGATTATGAATAAAAATTGTAATTTGGTTGATATTAATGATTGAATTATGAAGCATGATTTATTTATACATGATGGATTAATGATTGGAAAATAATAGTTTGTCATGTTGAATATGAACCACACTTTTATTTATGGCATGATAGAAAGATTGATAATTAAACTAAATGTGTAATTTGGATTGGAATATTAAAAGAGATTTTATTATGTTTAATATAATTTTTATTGATGCTATAAGCATGGAAAAAGAGCTATGTAAGTGTCTATGTTCACGAGGAATAAATTGTATGTTGGTACCTTAGTGCACTTAAGTTGTTTTTAACACCGATGGATAGGATTTTTGGCGCATTAAGCATTTAAGGTGTCTTTGATACCAACGTAGATTTTAAAAGCTAAGGGTTCAACATTAAATATCATGTCGTCACTAATTATTCAAGAATTAAATTGGAGTGTTTAATTGTTTGAATAACTATGATGTTTGATGTTATTATGATTTGAGAGTCATCACCAAGTTTAATAAATTGTAAAGAACATAAATTGAAAAAGTTTACGCACCAAAACTCTTAGAGCTTATATACCTTGAGTATGAATAAATGGGGGAAATTATGCGACATTATATTTGACCATAACTTCTAATGGGAATACCAAACGTTGTATTTTTCTTTTTATTATGCGCATGAATCCCGCCACTTACGAATGATTCTTTTATACTGACATAGTTAGCTCCCGTGTTAGTACCTCTTTAGTGGGGAAGGTTAGGGGGAAACCCGTTCGATGCATAATCAAAACTAAATAAATTATTTTTTGTTAATTAGTTGAGAAGTTTTGTTGTATGTTGTGTTCTTGGAAACAGGTGCAACAAGGTAAGTTGTGAGTTGTTAGGTAAAAGCATGTCAGTGTGTTTAGTGCGCTTATGTATTCAAATTTACTGATTGTGTGTGTTGTTGGCCTCGTCTTTAACTTAGCCTTATGATGACTCATTTTTAATGGAGAGTAGTGGAAACAAGCACTAGTAGAAAATTAGAAATTGGCACTGGTTCAAACCACCATAAACCCATCAGTTTGAACCGCTGAGTTTGTGGGGGGGGGGGTGCCAATTCCTCCATATATGCCACCTTTAGACACCCATTTGTGTGTTCCCAAAACCAAACCCAGTGATGAGTACCTTTCACGTCGAATCATAATCGAATGAAGCGAAAGTGTGGAAAGTTTAGTGTTGCGGATAGTTTTAATTTCTTTTCTCTTCTCTCTGTTTTTGAAAACTTATTTTAAGAAAACAGCCAATCCAGTTTGGTTGGTCCATGATATGGGTACAATAGTAGTGTAGTTGGATGGGGCTTGACAAGAGCTTTCCAATGATATATTATAAGCCCAATTCCGATGAATATTGAGGAAATTATGGCCAAATTACTAAACTAGGCCCGGTTTGAGCCTTATATGCGGCCCAATGATCTAGGGGAGGACCTAATATGATTTATCATTCCTAATGTAATTAGGAATGGTTTTAGTCTCCTAGATTCTTCTAGAAGGTTCTTTTCATTCCTAATTCGATTAGCATTGATAAATTGACTTTTGTTGACTTTTCAAAGTTTTAATTAAAATCAAAAAGCATTTTCGAGGAAAAGATACGATTTTATCCTCCAGTATGGAAAACTTATCTGATTTTCAAAAATGCGTCAAAAACAGGACTAGCGCCTGACGCCAGCCATTGGCGCCTGGAGCTAGGCCTGGCGCCTGGTGCCAATTAGCCAAGGTTGGCGCCAGCTCTGTTTCACGTGCGCCAAGTGCTCTGTTTTGATATTTTATCTTTTTGGATGATTTCTCTATAAATAACGACGTAAAAACTCCGTTTTCATTCACCTATAATCAGTTTTCAATTCTCATTCTCTTCTAATTCATTCATTCATCTCTCTTTTTTTCTCTCTTCTAAACTCGCTTTTCATACAAAATTCCGCATTCATTAGCACTAGAAACACCTAGCCATATTCGAAGTTGCCTTCGCCCTAGACGTGAAAGGTTTAATTTCTGAGGGTTTGGTCCCAAATCTCTCTTTCAATTATTTAATTTAATTGTTTGTTTTATATTTTCCTTGAAGTTACTAAGGTGTGTATTTTGTTATTAGAAAGAGGTACGAGGCATCAAAGTAAGTACTTTAATGGTTTTAATTGATATTATAATGTAGAAATCATGTTTTTATTGTTATTATGATATTCCTAGTATCATGTCTAGGGTTAATTTTAATATTAAATATGATTGTTATGATGCCTTTTATTTTCTTCCTAATATTTATGATTGTTAGTATCATGTAAGGGCTAAAGATTTGATTTTTATTGCTTAGTGACATGCTAGGGTTTGTTATTAATCTTGTTAGTATCATGCCTAGGATCATGCTATTATTATGTTTTAACATGATTATTTTTATAATTATTATTATTATAATTTATTTATTATGTTGCTTGATATTTTATTGTTATTCCTTGATCACACCTTTTATGCATGTTTAAAGGGAATTTGTACTTGTAATCACGCTTAATAAGATAATTTAATAATCTTGTTTAGGGTTAATTATGTGATTATAATTCAAGTGATCGCCAATAAAAGGTTTATTTGTGCATTAATATTCAACCAACATAGATTAAGCAAGTTTAGGGTTAATCCTATTGATTATATGTTAATTCGAAAGCGCACATGAATACGATCAGAATAAAGTAGAGGCCTATTATTAGGGCAGGTTCAATCTCTTTTAGGTTGGATTTGTACCTTCATCCCCGAACCCTTATTTGGTTCTAAACCTTATGGAGTTGACGATCTCTTGGATCGTTAAGGGGTGTAACCTTCACCCTGTGAACGGTTTACAAGTTCCTAAAACTTGTTGGCGACTCTTTTGCTCTATCTTGTTCCCTTTTGTACGCCACCGTACCTTAGTGTATGATCACAGTGGGGTTTAAGCTAGGGGTTTAATGCTTGAAATATTCCCTACAGTTTTTGGCAACTCCGCTAGGGAGGATTTCTATTTTAATTCCTGAATTTGTTTCGGCAACGATTTAGAATGAATGGATGAGACTCGAAACGTTCTAAGTATTTCATGTGCGTAATTTTGATTAACATTATTGTCATATGCATAAAAAAGATCTCATTGGAAAGACAATCCGTAATGAGTTAAAAACATAGGATTTTACACATAGGAAATTTAAGAAATATCTTTCACAACTAGGACCGAAATAACACCGCGCGAAACTGGAAAAATTTATCGAGCACAGAAAGCTGCTGAGGCATGTGGGAAGTAGCGCCAGGGGCCAGAGCTTGGCGCCAGAATTAAGTCGTAGCGCCAGACGCTAGCATTGGCGCTAGGCACTACAGTTAAAAACTGGCGCCAGTCTCTGATTGCTGGCACCAACCTCCCCCAATACCGAGCCAG